AGTGGGGCAAACGATTCTGGGAAGTTACCAGCAGACCAGTGAGAGACACTGTAGAGCTACAGTAAGTGGAGGACCTGGTACAAATGCCCTAATATGGTATAACGATCACCCACCAGTAGGGAACGGCAGTCCAGAATATCCACTCGTTACATCAGCCCGTGTTAGCTCTTTTCTCTCTCTTTCCTGGAAAGAGCAACACAGTGAGTGGGAGCCATCTTTTGTAGGAGCAAAATGTAAGAATTTAAGAAAGGGGAGTGTTTTCTCATGGAAATACTGTATTCACTTCATTTCCTTTGGTATCTACTCGGTGAAAGAAACCTACTGTGCATCTCACTTGTATTTTACTGCAGGGTGTGAAATACAGCACAGAGATAAAACAGCTTGCAAGCTTTTCATTAAGTATGTTGGTTTTGTAAATACATTAATTTGCCATTTGTGTCATTGCCTGCTTATTTAATCTGACACCATTCTGTGCTAAGGAACAAAGAACCACATGTCCGTGCTTGTCGTTTTCGGACAATAAGGGGGTATTATATTATATTATTGTGTTTTATTAATTTGCTTGCTAGGCAAACTGGCGTCAAGCTGCAAACTCTAATTATACCTACATTTATTTACGCAACAACCCCAAAATATATTGATATGTGATTAAAAAAGTCTACAATCCCATTCCTTTTATAATACATAAAGGGGGCTAAACGAGCAAGTAAAACAGTGGAATGGTGCTCTCTCTCTCTAGAATTCACAAACATTTGTGTTTATGAAACGCTCGCATCATGTGAAATCAGCTGTCGTGTTAATAACATTGTAGAGAGCGTTGATTTAAACAAGACATTGCAGTGATGCTACTTGTTACCAGTTTCGATGTTGCTCCCAGTTCTTCAGCTTAACACTTTTATACCCGGTTTTAATGACATTTCAGATGTAATCAAGATGTGTTTCTTGTGCTTCTCTGAAAATTATTTTGAAAAATTACATTTTCTCCGGAAACTCTGTGCAACGTCTTAATAATACCTTTTGCCTGTGAAAGAGAATTATTCACAAAAGTATATGTGCTAGTATTCATTCATCTGGGGAACATTAGGCTCAGGAAATATTTTACAAGGAATAACAAAACCCAAGGATCAAATGCACTGAAAATGTTCATTGAGGGTTTAGTCCTACAGCAGGGAGGTCTGGCTCCACCCGCTTGTCAGAGAGCTGTGGGACCAGGAGGCCGGGACCCCCCTACAGAGTGAGGGGTGACCAAGGGGCAGCTGGACAGGGCAGATGGGCTGGGGGAGGGACACAGGAGACAAGTGTAAAGGAGAGAAGGGATATTCATATGGTATTTCTAGTTTTTTTAATTTGGGAAATGGCGTTATAGCAGCTCAGATGAGATTGAACTTGGCTGCTGCCATCCCTCCAGAAATTGTCGTAGACTCTGTTTGTTTTCTGCGTCAGAAACAAACGGGTCCTGACAGTCATCAGGTTTATGAGAACCTCCCACTGTAGTGGGAGCGAATATTCACAGAGGAGTGTCACGTCTCCTGCTACACATACTGTAGCTACATTTCCGCTTTTCTGTGTCTGCCTTATTGTATTTTCTTCAAATAATCTAAAAATATAGAACATTTTCAGAAAAATAAAGATGACCAAGAGAGTAAAAAAAAAACACAGCCTGCCTGTGTTTTTTTTTAAACATACTTTTTCTTATTCCGTCTGAAATGTGCAAAATATCAGCCTCGGGGGCTTGCTGCCATATTCTAGATTTCTAAAAAAAATGACCTGTTTCCCCAAAGCAGAAATGTTATAACCATTCATCACATATCCTGTGTTTGAACCTGATGTGTTGACTTGGTATCCTTCAGGCAAGACCAATGTTTTCAGGGTTTCTCCAGTCTTTTTAGTGGCTTAGTGGTTCAGAAGAACTGTCAGCACTCAGGTCCCCTTTTTACAGCTGAAAGACTTTCTTAGGACTGGATATCAAAACCAATCCAATGAGAAGAGATGACAGGCTGTGTGTATTGTCCTTTTTATTTGTATTTTATTACACTTTGTAGACATAGCTGCAGTGTATGAATGCTGTTTACACTCCCAGAACCTTGTTTTGGGGTGGCTTTCCTTATACATTTTAGCCTGACATTGCTGTCTGGACACAGGTGAAACGCACATGCAAAACCCACTGTACAATGAAAGCAATATGCTTCAAATGAAATGATGTGATTTTCTGGTTTAATGTCATTGCATCAATTAGTTATTCATTTACACATACACAGCTACACAGCTACGCGATAATGAAAACCATATTCCTCATCGTGATGAGATCAAGTAATGACATAAATTCATTAGATGATCTGGTATTTTACAGTACATAGCCTCAAGCTACAATTCCCAAATGGTATTTTTACTAGTTTCTCAGTATTCTCTCGCACACACGTCAGCGTGCACCTCTGCTTGCTCATTTGCTAAGACACACAATAAGGACAGTGACTCTTGTCAAGACGGGACCTTTTTGCAACAGTTCTAGAAGAACTAGAGCAACGCTGATAAAAGAGTTCACAGACTCACAGAGAAAAATAGCAAGGAAGCTTGGGTACTATTTAACAAAACAGAACCAGTGAACTTTGTACTGCCGTGGAGTGCTTTCTTTGTTGTAATGTTCTTTCTTTATTTGTTTGACTCAGCTCTCTATTCATAAAACAAAACAAAAAAACAGAGAGAAAAAGCATATAAGATAACAGATAGACTTCTGTTGTAAAGCTCCCTATCCTAGGCAGTCAATGTAAGGGCTGTCACTTTGCCCAAGCCTAGATCAGCAATACGAAAAAATCGTATTATGGATGCTACCTTAACACCATCAGATGTATCACTCAGACCCCATTAAAAACAATAGAATAAACATATAAACTAAAACATCAGTGGTTTATTTAAATATCGTGACATACAAATTCAACCTTTTCATCAAAGATTTAGTACCACAGAGATAATTGGAGAGTGAAAGGCATGAGCACATTAATTTTCAAACCAATTATTAATACAGACTTTTAAAGTCTATTCATCTGTATTGATAAACTAGTGACAGCTGTTGTTAGCTACTGATATTGCATTAGACCTACAGTACATGTAGTACTACCTAAAACCTCAAGTTCAAAACACTCTTAATTTAGCCATTTAAAGCACAGTCAGAAACATTGATGGTAATTCTAACTCTTGTGCAGCTTCAGATACAGTATATCCTCATTCTGAGTGTCAAATGTGTTTAACATAAAATCTAAGCTACAGTAAAACATTGTCTTTTACTATTAGCACTGTTTTTGTTATTAACTATTGTTTTACAATGTTTTACATTGTTTTACTATGGGTACAACTGCCATTATGATGGTTTTTCAGTTGTTTTGACCCAATATTGTGATCCTTTGGAGTAAATTTTGAAATTAATGTTCCATATAAAGGTTACTCAAGCGTAAGTTTAAACAGCAAGCTTAAATGTATGTTTTATTTGATATTATACCATGTTTTAGGCAGGATTAACAACATACTGTAGAATGAATGACGTGTTGGTCTTACTTTAATATTTGTTTTGGATGATATTAACTGTTGATATTGTATTTCAGTATGTCCAATATTATGTAGATATCAAAATGGACCCTTTTTAAAAGGTTTGAAGCAAACCCCCAAATATGGAAAGCACAAACATATTGGTCATAGAAGTCAAACTTCATAGTAATATGGTTGTGTGTATTACTGTGTACATTTATTTACCCATTGTGACTTGTATATTCACATCTAACAAATAAACATTAATATCACTAACCAGCACCCTTTCACTATCTAATGCCGCCGGTATTTTTAACTTTTCTTGTAGAATACAACTTAAGGGAGATCATACTGAAACTGCACAATAGTTTCAATCAGATAAATCAGATCTGGAATTCTGCATATACTGTAGTTCTTGTCCCCACATTCCAAAAGGATAAAGAAGCCTTAGAGAAAATTCAGTCAAGACTCACTATGTGCCTAGGACAGACTGAGATTCAGTATACAGTGCACTATGACATAGCAGTTTAAGCTTGCTTTCACAAAGATACTAGAAAATACCTTACACAATCTTTCAATATTAAGCTTGGTATTATACACTATCTTCCACATAATTGTTGTAATTTGTACCTAGACACATGAATTGATTATTTCTGCTGAAACAGCTTTTGGAAAGATTTCACACACTGAGAAATTATGATGGGAAAGTAAATTACACAGTCACACATGTCTTGTGAAATCTGTAAACTAATTAAAACCAGAGAGCATATCTGAGATACTTCATAAACACCCTCAATTCAAGCTGTGAGTGTCTAGTACAATATGTAGGTACAGAATAATTGTATATCTGCAGCAGGCATAGGTAATTATCGAATAGGCGATGCAAAGGGTCAGAAAGTGAAATACAGGTAAAGTGCACATACGTTGAAATATTTTTATTTTAGCACTGGAATGGAGTGAGGAATGCAAAAGAAAAGGAGGGTATCGCAAAGATTCCTCAGTACAAGGTGATTTACGATAAACACCGTGGATATTTGTGAGAGGCTTCAAAAGATACTCATTTCACCAGCTTCCACTGCTCTAAGCATTAATGCTCATACCGCTGCTGTATCTCATGGGTGGCAAATAAGGCTCGTTCAGTTAGACTCGGTTACTGTAGGTGTTTCAGTGGGTGAGCAGATTAAGATACAGATTTGGCGTCGACACTCTTGGCTCAGGGAAGGTAAATCTGGCCCCGAGGTTGGTAAGAAAGGTCAATCGTCCATCCAACCAGTTCCGAAGTCGTTTTTCCAGTAAAATGGGTCCTTGAAGTGTGATCGATTTTTTGTCCTGAAATGATCAGAATGTTCTCATCGTCATTTAAATTAACAAATCGCTTGCCAGCGATCGCCAAGAAACTGTCCCAAGTCTTTCGAAGCTCTACATCGTTTTACTGTACACATACACTAATTGTTCTTTTCTTTTCTTTTTTTCTTTGGCAGGATATATCTGGCCGTTGCCTTCTGAGCTCTGTCCGATCTGGATTTACCTGGATGTGCTCTTCTCCACTGCGTCCATCATGCACCTGTGCGCGATCTCTCTGGATCGTTACATCGCAATAAGAAACCCCATTCACCACAGCCGCTTCAACTCCAGAACGAAAGCCTTCATGAAAATTATCGCCGTGTGGACTATCTCAGTCGGTAGGGTTGGCAAACCTTTCGATTGTTATTCGCTTGGATCTCACACATACAGTACCGTACATGTCTGAGGTAGCCCGTAACTATCGGATCAGCTGTTTGAAAACCGGCAGCTCTCATACAGAATTGCAGAGCAGTTGGGAACATGCCTAAAGGATTTTAATAGCACGATTCCCCACCTCGTCCCTTTTCAGCAAGTTCTACTTCAAAAGATTCCGGTTCAGTGTTGACCAGAGGAATTCATTCTACATGTCTATTATTAGTTAATTTCACGTTCGTTAAAAGGAGGGGAAATTGCAGTTTCTCTCTCGTTTTTTGATTACTTAATATATTGTAACGCAACGGGGGTTCAGGCGGGCGCCCTTGCCGCATCTGGTCGGCCCCATCCCGACTGGAGGCTCGAACCCGGGACTTCCGCGTCTCTCTGCAGCGACCTAGCCCCGTGAGCTAAAGAGAGATCTCTCCACAGCCCAGTAGCTGTGGTCCTGCTATCAAAGTGAAGGGCGGTGACGTCACCCGCTCTGGTACGCCGGCTCTTACACACAGTGCTTGTCGGCCGTAAGCGTTACAGTATAAACTCCTACATGGAAAAAAGCAATAAAGATCGGAGTTTTGGATTTCGAGGTTGGGATGTTTTTTTTTATTTAAAAAAAACACCTCTAACTACTGTCAATCAAAAACAATCAGAGGAGTCCTGCTGCAAGCTGCCCTCTGGAGTCCTGCTGCAGGCTGACCAGATGCTTTTTGAGTGGTGTGAATGAAAACCTGTGTATGGCCAGAGAGCAATTGATGGTAATCAGCATGGGAGCAGCAATAATTGGTACTAGGAGTTTTGAGTGATTTTAAAAGCATGTTTAACTGTTTTAAACGAGTCATCTTTCGCACCCGACACTGTGAAGTTCACATGATAAGCTGAATTCAATGTGTGAACCAGTAGTATAATGGTATCCTGCAATTCTCATTTTGAAAGCGAACAAACAGGACAGAATTCAGCACCCAGGAGGGGGCACAGACAGAATATGTTTTTGCCAGTGTAACAATTACAGTGGCACAAATTACTCACTGTGAAAGTAATCGTGACTTACAGTACATACTGTAGGATCACTGTGATTTTCAAAATGAGGCACTTAAACATCATATTGCTTAGTTAAAACACCCAAAAGGGTATTATGTTTCAATTTCAACAGTACCATGATGCAATGTATTTGACTGAACTGGGTATTTTTTATTGGAAATGAAATTTCAATAAAATGCAATGCATCATGGTTTTTGATATAGTTTTGTTTCTATAATATTCACGATACAGGCACCTATAAGCTGTACTGTATAAATGACGGATTCAAATTTGAGAACTATGATATAATCATTGCAGATTTTCATACAAATCACTACCATATAATTTTTTCATATACTGTAAATCACCTTATTTGCAGTATTAACAAAACTGAAGATACGTACTGTAACAATATTGGTGTCCTAATTTTTGGCAGTTCCCCAGAAGATCCTCCTAAGCCTTTCAACTGAACCTGCTCAGAGAGAGATCAGATCAGATTCTGGGTTGCGCCCTTCAGACACGTGCTTGAGAAGTTGTCGAATTAGGTAGCTCTGTTCCGTAAGTTGCCACGGGACAGAGTCAGTGCAGCTCAGAGTTAATGTACAGTAGTTCTGAGCAGAGCGTGCTTGAGGACAGCAAGATCTAAACAAGGTTCAGGGCTGCTGTAGAGAGCACTGCAGCAAAGCAATTAACCGGAATTGGCAGACTTTTCTTATTTAAAAGGCACATTTTATTTCTTTGCTTTTCTTTATTAAAACTGTAATACAGAGTGATCTAGTTCACTTTACATCGAAGTCCTGGCTGTTCATATTAAACCTCCTCCTAAGATCATGTGCCCCCAGAATGGCAGCATGACATTACAGAGGGCACATGGAAGTTACAAGACCTCCAGCTTATTCCCTTGTCAAACGTCACTCATACCAATAAGCGGTGTCCAACACAACCAATTTAAGATCAAACTTCACAACATAACTAGTTTCTGCTGAAGTACTGTATGTTTACCTCCCAAACTCCCCTACAGTTTAAAATCCATGACCATCGATGACATGTAGGAATAGAAAACATAACTCTTTGTGCGAAAATGCAAAAGTCTAAAAGGGAAGAGAGGTTTCTTCCATAAACAATTTGTGAAAATTGAGTTAAATGGTTAATCATATCATGCTGTTTCAATGCACAAATTATTATTTTTCATGCACATGGGGCATCAAGTTATGAGGGAAAAAAATTCTGTTTTTTAGTGTGAAGACAGACCTGGGCATATAATTATTTTCTCTTGAGGACCACATGAAGAATGCACAGTGCCTCTGGGGGCCAGATGCAAATGATCACAACCTATTTTAAGAGAAGACGGCTGTCTATTTCTATGTCCTGAACAGCTCGCACAAAGCCCAAGAATCACAGACCGCCTTAAAAGCTCCAGGATCGGAGAGATGTTGGTGTGTGTGATCCCCTGCTGCGCTGTTTGTATAATATTTAATGAATTGGATCTAGAGGAAAGATTAAGGAATTCTCCATCTCACTGCAGACACAATTGATCCCTTCTCTAAGACTATCATCATCGGCACAGAACAGTCTGCGGGACGTGCAACTTGCTCTCCCGCTGAGAGATAAGGATCATTTCGGCTGGCTACTTCAACGCCGTGACGCACATTCATCCACACTCTGTGCTGCTGCCCTCGAACCGGCAGACACTAGCTCCCTTAAAAAACCCACAGTCATTTTGGAGTAAAAATGGAGGGTAAAATGAGTATGGTATTGAGGGTTTTTAACACGGTCCAATGTCTCCATGTAGTCTGCGCTGCATTGCTTGCACTCTGTCAATCTGTTTCCAAAGACACAACCCTGAAGTTAGGCTACCGAATTTCAGTTGGCTTGTACCTGTCACTGACTTCACACTTGAGAAGCCAGCGTTTTGTCTGTGACAACACTGCCCCTGTCACATTAAGCTAACAAACACAGTAAATGCTGACATTTCACTTGAGCTTTTTAGGGTCATTTGTTTCTTTAATAATTCCCTTCATGTTCATTTCTGATGCCAAGATCTTGAACCGATTTAAATGCTGCTGTACATATATCCAATAGGATTCCGGGGGTGAAAATGAAAGGTATCTTCCTGTGTAGTACAGCAATATGTTGATCAATATATTGCACAACAGTACTGTGTAATTGTGTGCTTAACAATATACTGTGAGGCTTTACACTTCAGCACAATCTGCTTTCATTTTAAAGACCATGTATACTCAAAATATTTTAAATTATATAATAAAATATGAGATTTGTATTTAAAAATACAAGGACTAGAATGTTTAAGAGATGCATCTATTTTACATATAGCACTGGATGCATACGTATAGCACATGGGCCTAGTAGCGAGAATCATGACTGGTTTTGATCCATCACATTATTCTGTTCACAAAGACGTCAGTTTAACATATACTGTATCAAAATTTCAATTGGAATTTAAAATAACTTTACAGAGTACCCAGTGCAGTGAATACTAAGTGAGTCTGTTACAGTGTAGGTGTATAGAATTAGAGCAGTGTTTATGTTGTATGTATGACAGGATTGAGCTACTTAGCTTTTGTGTTTGGCAGAAAACAAGTTTAATTTAGCTTCCCCTTCCCAACTGCCAAATGCATGACAACACACGTACTGTACAAAGTCTTGAAGAAAAGCCCAAGGAAGGGGAATGAAACTCATTTTGTTTGGAATGGTATCAGATTCAGCAGGAAGACTGAATAACTGTTCAGCATGACCACATATAAACACCTGGCCAATTTGTTTAAGCTGTCATTTTTGAATGAGGACATTAGCTGAAGAGAATTAGCCTCTGGAATGGGAGCCAGGAACTCATAAACATTAAAAGGCGGTAATATTTCGACATTTGTCTGGGTCATAGCATGTATTGCCTGATCTTGTTTCTTTAAAGTGACAATGCACATCCTGTTTTGTTGGGTTCATGTGCATTGTGGTAGTTGAGAACTTAAGAAGAGTTAAAAAGGAGAAGAAGTCATTCAGCCCATCTAGCTGGTTTAGTAGTTAGCAGCAAATGAACCCAACCGTCAGGAAACCTCAATGAAAAGGCTTGCAGATCATGTGCAGACGCGGGAACGAGTCGATAGAGAGACAGGCAAACAATCCGGGACGTCAGGCGAGATCGTAGTCGTTAGGCGAAAGGTAGATTAATAACCAGGAAGTACAGAGAGAAGCAAACAATCCGAAACAGAAGGCGAGGTCCAAGGCCGAGAGGCGAAAGGGAGTTCAGTCTCCTGTAAGCGAGGTTCAGCGTTAACACGAGGGAGAGTCCTCAAGGAGTAGACTCAATACTGAGCAGCGGGAAGCGGGATAGGATGGTTTAAATAGCGCTGCTTGTTATTATGAACCCGCTGCTGGTACTGGTTAGTTCTTCTGGGAGTTGATCTCCGCTGGCTGGTGGTCGTGACACCAACAGTCTCATCCAGCAGCTTCTAGAAAAAAGACAGGGTATGAGCTTCAACACCAGGGCTGGGTAGCGTGTTCTGTACTTTCTCAACCCCTTGTATAAAGCAGTGCCTCCTGTTTTTAGCTTTATATGTACTGTACATACACCTCCACATATTTGAGATGGCTAGCCAAAGTTAAGCATAGAATTGCCTTTAATTTCCTTAAGCATGCCTTAGAATGTGTAATAACCAATGACCACCAAGGTTTAGACAAATTTAGGAATATAGTACAGTATACAGTATGTCCTCATTTCTGTCACATCAAATGACGAAGCGAAAAACGTGTAGTATATTTTAGTGCAATAGCAAACATAGTTTCGTGCAGCTATTGCACTGAAAAATAGTTTTTTGGGGGGAGACAAAACTGTTATCTTTCATTTGCCAGGGGTCTTCCCAATCTTCTGTGTTGTGTTTCTTTCCATAGTATATTCCATAACTCCTCAGTGAACACCCATGTGAAATATTTATTTAAAATATTAACATTTTCTTTTCAGTGTTATTAAATTCTCTTTTTCTCTTAATCTCATCTCAGCTAAGGACTTTACCTGATCCGTGGTGCTCTTTGGCTGTTGAACCACTGGATGAACTGTTTTGTATTAGTTTTAACCTCCACAGCGATTTCTTCATATCTTTCTTGACTTGTTCTTCCAGTTAGATGTGCTCTCAGGCCATCAAAAACTATAGTCAGGATACAATGAAATGTTCTATTATTCTGAAACTTGTAATGCCAAAAAATATGGCTGCATTTAAAACAGGAAAATATGAATATTGCTGATGGGAAGAACAATTGAAAGTGTGACCTCAAGAGATACAGGCACCCTACTGAATAAGACCTCAACAAGCTTTTGATCTCATGGTAATTGGATACATCAATTCATGACATTAAGATGTATCTCTATTTTGAAGCAACAGGAAACTAAATGAATGAAATACTATGTTAGTGAGGGCGATAACGAATCAGTTTGTGTTTTGTTCAGTTTGAGAAACTAAATGCTAATAAGATATGTTCTTTTAGAATAAAAAAAATAAGCTCAGCAGATATCTTCAATGCCTGACCTGTATCAGTAACAAGAAAAATCTGGAAACAAGGAATTTAGACATTTTAAAGCAGGTGCGATTTAGATTCTAACAAACTCACACCGACTATGAAATGCAAATTAGATTAACTTTGATTACATTCTGCACTGGAGACCAAACTCATTGTAAAGGAAAGGAAATCCGCATGTGACCCAACCTATGAGGTCCTGACCGTTTACAAAAGATCACAATGGATCGTGTCTTGTGGTTAAAATACATTTGCTCTGATATAGCTGTGACTGTACCTGTTTTTGTTTTTATTTTGTTTGTGTTTTTTTTTCTGTCTTTTTTCTTCTTTCCTCTTTCACTCTTATTTTTTTTCCCTTAACTCCATTCTTCATTTCTTTTTCTTGCATTCATTGTTATTCTCTTAAAAAAATGTAAACGTTTAAATATTGATGTCTCTGCTGCGATATTTAATAAACATAATTGGAAAAAAAATAGATTGCCTGATATAACAGCGCCCTTTGCTCTTTGTTTGCAGGGATATCCATGCCAGTCCCAGTGTTTGGCCTTCGGGATAATTCAAAGGTCCTGAAGGATGGCATCTGCTTCCTCGCAGATGACAACTTTGTCCTCATCGGCTCGTTTGTAGCCTTCTTCATTCCCCTGACCATCATGGTGGTCACCTACTTCTTAACGATCCACGCCCTGCAGAACGAGGCCACCATGTGCCTGGATGAGCTGGTGCCCAAACCCAGGTGGACATCCTTCAGCTTCCTCCAGCAGAGCTCTCTGTCCTCAGAGAAACTCTTCCGCCGCTCGCTGAGCAGGGAGGCGGGGCCGTACGGGCGGAGGACGATGCAGAGCATCAGCAACGAGCAGAAGGCCTCCAAGGTCCTGGGAATCGTGTTCTTCCTGTTCGTGGTCATGTGGTGCCCCTTCTTCATCACCAACGTGCTGGCGGTCATCTGCAAAGACACCTGCGACTCGAACGTCATCGGAGGGCTCCTCAACGTATTTGTGTGGATAGGCTACTTGTCCTCTGCGGTCAACCCACTGGTTTATACTTTATTTAACAAGACGTATCGCTCTGCATTCTCACGCTACATCCAGTGCCAGTACAAGGAAGAGAAGAAGCCCTTGCAGCTCATACTGGTGAATACCCTTCCCCCATTGGCTTATAACTCCACACAACTGCAGCTGGGGGAGTTGAGCTCCCTGAAGAACAGCAGTCGAATGGGGGGCAAGGATTACTCCTTGGTTGCTATAGGAATTAACAATTTTAATACTTCAAAGCCCCTTTCAGGGCAGGCCAGTGAGAAGGTGAGCTGTGTGTAACTCTCAGTGGCTGCGGTTTTCTTCATCCCAGAAGGACAGAAACCATGGAAAATGGAACTTGCCATAAATTACACATTTGCCACTGAGATGGATTTCAATAAGGGTGCTCAAAAATAGAATGTAACAGCACAGGCAGCAGAGTGTGCTTTGAGACTTCTTCTATACTATTAAAGAGTGATACTTGGATGAAAATATAGAGAAGAAAAAAATAAAGGGAAACAACCAGGGTTTGGTATGTTCGAAAATATCAGAAAAACACGCTTGTTTTGATTTACAAAGCTGATATTGTCATGCCGAAAAGAGATTTTGCACATTTATCTGTTTATGATGTTATTATTTCTTTTCTTTTTTTTTCGTCAATTATCTTATGGAACACGTGTTTTAGCTCCAGTGCTCACTTCTGAAAAGAAACAAGCATTCCAATAGTAAACTTAACAAGAAAACAGAGGGAAACCTGTTTTTGCATATTAGAAAATGCAATAATTGGAGACCTGGAGATGATTTGCACTGGTGTGTCTTTGTTGAAATGCATTGAGCTTTAAACTGTAGAAATATAAAGTTAATTATTGCAGAGCTACAGGCAGTACACCCACTCAGCACTGAGAAGAAGGTATTTCTTTTCAACTTAAAGTGAACACCAGCAGGTCTCACAAGTTTACTTTTACTTGCTTATTGGGTAGTTCCGATGAGCTCAATTTAATGTGTCATTCAAATGTAAAAACAACATTCGAGCTGATAAATACTTTTTAGATGCCATACTGACTCTAACAAGCTTCTAAACACATTGATGTTGGTCCTAGCTTTTCTGTTCACTCCCCCTCCTCTTCACAGAGGGCTCATAAATTGTGTTGCTTGTTTTCAAGGTTCATTCACTGTAATGTCAGTTTCGTTTCATGCAGGATCATTCATAAGTGCAAGAGTTTCCTGGGTTTTTTTTTACAATGAACTTAAAGCAGAGAGAATTTATGGATTGTTGTGATTTACTAGCTTCTCTGGAGCCAGATACTTTCAACTGATGATTTCAAAACAGGCTGTGTGCTACCCAGGACAAAATCTGAATCAGTAATGGTGTCAAGCCCAGGTTCATTTAAGAAATTTTATCCACCACAGCCAACAGCTCATTTCATGGTGCGTCTTTATCTACCAGTTGTATCTACCCAATAAATCATTCCTGTCAAGAACCAGCTTTCAGATTTGTGGATCTTTGGTGGGATGGCCATTTAATTTAAACTGGGCCAAATGTGGTTTGAAAGAATGAGAAAACCTGAGGTGAAACAACTGGTTTAATTATTATAGAATACATCGTGATTTATCGTTTTTCAAGCTTTGTGGGCAAGCATTTCTTTACTACAGAAATTCTGTTTTCACAGAATATTAGCATTAATGTCACAAAATCTTATCCGTGCTGAACATTTTTCATTCTTTGAACACCCAACACTATTAAAAACCTAAACGTGTGAAAAATTACGCCATTGGTCAGTGGTCATGGATATTGAAACCATACACTCGTGTGTGTAAACATTGAACTGCTGTGTGTATTAATTACAGTAGGTAAAGAAATTGAATGTAAAATGTCACATGCCTTTTTGCAGTGAGTGGCTGTTAGACTCTCTTCTCTTGCCATTTTATATTATGTGTGGTACATGAAATTCATCAATAAATTCAGACAATCAATTTCGCTCTTTTTGAGAACTGTTACAGTGTCACATTTCACGGTTACAAAAACACCAAAACAAAAGAGTTTCCAGTAAACTGGAACTCTGATGTACAGTACATTGCTTTGGAAGGATGTTTATTGAGTAAAGGTTTGTTCCATGCTGCAAAAAGAAGAAAGGAAACACCATGTTTTCAGCTGTGGAGTCTTCTGAAGACACTGATGTGTTCAAGGTCTGAATCTCCCATGTCTCCATCATGAAGGCAAAGCAAAACAACCTGCTTTGTCACAACCACTTATTTTCAGGAAGTACGAAGCCATAGATATGTGAGTCCTTGGGAAATTTACCTTAATTCATTAGTGTTTGGATTGCAGATCTTTGATTGCATTATATCTCTTTCTATTTTAAAACTGGCAATAAGAAATACAGCTTATGTGCTGTACTCTGTTTCATTGCCTTTTTCAATCGAGCAGACTGGAAAACATAAAAAATGGAAACCTGCTTGTGCTAAAATGGATAAAATATTTTTAATTATTCCCTTTATGACAAGATGTGTAGCATGACTAGTGTGTTGACGGTCCATTATTTACTAGTAAATGGTAATTCTTGGCAAACTTAGGCCTTGCCATTACACCCGATGAGAGGAGAAGTCTTTGTTCTGTTTGTTGTACCTGCCTGCTAATTTGGGGAGGTTAAGATAACTTTATTGGCCGTATACAATTTCTTGCATTAGGAATTTGTCTTTTCACATACCGCAGCTTGCTCTCCATGAGACACACAAACAGGGAGAGAAGCTTGGGGTCAGAGCGCAGGGTCAGCCATTTATACGGCGGCCCTGGAGCAGCTGGGGTTCAGGGCCTTGCTCAGGGGCCCAACGGAGTAGGATTCCTCTACCGGCTGCAGGATTTGGACCGGTAACCTTACAGCCACAGATGCAGATCCTTGGCCACAGTACCACCACTCCGCCCAGTTCTAGCATAAGCCATGGGAGAGGGAGGATAACTGAGCTCAGAAAAGTTCCATATCGTTACCCACAATCCCCCCCTCCCTCCAGTACAAAGTAAAAATCCAGCTTGGGGGACAAAGACCTCCCTCCCCCAGAAAGGATCTCACTTTTCCCTCAAGCCCACCTCGGTCCCCTGCTAGGAAGAGGGGGAAACTGGTCAGCGACAGGAAGTGTCTCTGCTGGTAATTGTGACACAATTCTAAAGATTGCTTACATTTAAATTACAAGATTAAATAAAAATATGTTAGTGTTAAATTAGTTCAGAAAGGGGATGGGAGGTGGGTATGGAGTTCAGAAAAATAAGAAAACATTACCATACATATTTCTATTGCACAGAAGAAACAGAACAGGTTAACATTCAGACAGATATTGATTGTGTTTGAAGTGAACTGAAATCCGGTATTCATGAAGCCTTTTACAGAATGTCCTTAATGACAGGTTAGCGTGAGTCATGCTATATTTTATTCAGAGAAACAGACTCATTTAAATGGCGCACAGTTCAAACCCCATTCTGCTTTCAGTATGTAAACAATATTTAGCAATAGATATACGTTGTACTTGACAAATGTTGAGCTATAAATCAATTGGTTTATAATTTCAGAGTGATCATGATATATATTTGTAAAGGTTGTGCAAAAGTACTAGTTGTTTTTTGCAAAACTCTTTGAACAAACATCGTGAAATGCCAGTAGGCATGTCTGCCATTTTCTGTATAGTTCAGGGTAATTATGAATAAAAATCATTAAGGAGAGAGTGCATCTGTGTCACTGTTCAGTATCATTAGTACTGCACTAGCCTTTAATTAAGTCTAAATGTCTTGCTTTAAATTTTTTATGTTTTTTTTCCTGTTGTTGGAGAGTTGTTTTAAGATGCACCTTTAGTAATATTGATCATGAATTATTAAAACATGCTATATCCTTTTAATATCTACGAATTATGAATATGTCATTGATATTACTAATAACATCAAACACTGGTAGTTAAGTGACCTGCATAATCCAATAAAGGAATCTCATGAGATTATATCTAAAGTATGTTCATTTTTCATGCAAATAATTTAATATTCAGAACCGTCACAGTATTCTCTAGTAAATAACCATCTAAAAATGATTGATGTCAGTTCTTAAGTATTACAAAGCTTTGAAAAGAGAACTGACCTATTGTTTAACATTAATTTATAACACTTGAAAGTGAATTTATTGTGTTTTATTTTTAGGTTTTTAGATTTTGACAGGTTTTTAGTTTTTTAGATCAATGTTTACATGGAAATACAAAGTCAAATGAAATATTACTCAGTGCACCACAGATCAGTCTATTGGTTTAACATTTATGCATGTAATTGATTTTAAAATAAGGTTCTCAGATGAGAATTAATCGTTTGACTATGAGGAACATGCTATGAAATGATGCAACAAGGGGACAGGAGAAACACATCTGTAATCTTTTTTCGTAAGCTTCCCAGAGGAAAAGCACAAGAGTCTCAATCATGAGCCGTGAACTGGTTCTCCTTTCAACCAGCTGTCTCAAAAATAACACAACATCTCACAATACATAGTCTGAGAGGTACAGCAAAGGTTACAGACGGACTGTGACAGGTTCAGTCTTCAATAAGTGTTTATAGATTAAATTCTTTGCACATGCTGCGTTTTCTACAATGACGCACTCTATGAAACCTATCCATCTTTTTTCAATAACAACTCAATTCAATACAGGTTTGTGGTGAGCTACCATCTAATCCAGCCTACATTGGAAAAAAGGCAGGACATTCCCACACAGAGGCGCCATTTAACGTACGATGTTTTGGGACTATGGGAAGAAACCAGCGCTTCCGGAGGTGACCACAGAGAGCATGCAAACTCCACACGGAAGACATCCCAGGCTGTCATCAAACCCCGAAACCAGTACCGGTGGGTCACCACAGTAACAACCCCACCACTGTACCCCCTTCAAAAAAAATCTATTTGACAACAGGATTGTGATGTTGAAAGTACTTTAAAGTTTGAGGGGCTTCATCTAAAAATTATGAAAAGTGAACATTTTTCAATGTCACGTTTAAAATATGCGACGGTGTTTCTCTCCGTTTTATTATTTTTCATTGGCATTGCCTGTCAGGCCTGTGAGCTGCCCCACCCCTGACACAGATTAAAACTGAAAACAAGCCGTCCGTCATTCTGCGCAAGGGGGACTCAAACTGAGACAAATCCAGACTGATGAAATTAAAGGTGAAATGTGGATAGGAAGTGGAGATCTTTTTCTATTCAGGAATATATTTACACTGTAATTACAGTATATAACACCAATGTACAGATATCTCTTTAAATTTCCGTGTTTAATAGAGTGATTGGACTATACAGTTTGACCACGTTTGTTCCCGATGTAGTGTCTCTCGTTTTAATGACAAATACATACACCTAACCTTACAAATGTACTATATACCAGAGTGAAGGCACAGTGAGGAACAGTAAAGCACTGTGAAACTCTACTGAACGTGTGGCAAGGAAGGGTTTGGTAAAGCACAATACGAACAGCGGGGAAACCGTGGCAGAACAAGGGGAATTCACGTACTGAGATTTCACAACGACCGACTTCAAGGACGTATGCAAATAAACCAAACAAGCGAACAACGAACAACGCTGTCTTTTCCACGCAGTTTGCCATTCATGAACTGTTTCCCACTTCATTATACAGTGACTGCAAGTTTTGTAGCCTGTATTTCCAATGGAACTGACTTAAGTGTTGAAGAAACAGTGTGCAAGGCGATGGAAAATAACTCTTTCCATGTCCGCCTTGTTCTACGGTACACGTCTTTCTCGTTTTCTGTGCCAGTAGTACCCGAAAGAACTTTTTTACAGAAGACCCACTAACTGGACGTTTTTTCTAAGGTTCAGGAGGGATAACAATGACAAGCCAATCACACACAGCTGTACCTAATCTCCATCACTACAGTACAAAGTCAGCTATACATACTGAACTCAAACATCTCACTTCGAACTCGTAAAGCATCTGTCTTCTGCTCCATCTCTAACTTGTAGCTGTCCCTGGTTCACTGGTTCACTCAGGCTGAATGGGTTTTGAGCCTCTCGTCTTGTCCTGTGGCCAGGGGGCTGCCCATTAACCAAGCAGGTGCAGCCAAGCTTATCTCCCCAGGTATTTCAAACTCACAAAACAGTCCGTTCTTCTCAGCTGAAATGCGACTTGGTAAATTACTTTTGTCGTCACTTTGTGTTTAACTTGCTGTTAAAACACTGCAAACAACTGAAATATACATTTTCAGGGGATCTCACACCTGCACTTTAAGAATGTCAAGGTAAAAAAAAAAGCCTTATTTTCATTAATTGATAAATATGTATTAAAATCTATTTAAAATACCATCAGTGACTAGATATTGAAGGAGGTACAGTAGCAAGCTTTTATGTTATAAGAAAACTCTCTGCTGAAACTTGACTACCTTACAGTTGCTAATATGGCCTTGGTCTGCTTTTGAGCCATTTCTTCAACATTCATTTAAAAAAAAACATGACAAATGGACAAAAAAGACTTTTTTAACTGGATTGTTTTTGTCATTCCACAATTCACAAGATACATTTTTACATTTGTCTAAAAATGATGTTACTTTTCTTCAGAAATTAAATGTTGAATTTTTATCTGTTATATGTTCATCAAATTGAATGGATAACTTCATATTACCCTGAAATCTCTCTTTTATAGAGCTATTGATATTAGGAGTCCTTGAAGGGCATATGAATTGCAAGAAAGCTTTATCTTTCAGGTCAAAGAAATTAAACAGATGTTTGCTTTGTCATGAATTAAAATGCCGACGTAACCAATTTCCAATATTCAGCCTTGGTCCCATTAGTAATTGTTCTATTTAAAATCAGTGCAGGCTACAGGAAGATTCAGATTTACTTTGCTTGATTAACCTGTGTAGTCAGAGAAGTATACATTAGTACTTGAGCAAAAGACAAGCTCACCTTAATTTCCTGTGGGCATATTTTTGTGAATTCATGCTTATTTTTTCCAAAAATTCTGCCATGTTTTTATGTCTTTATTATTAGAGAATTCTCAGGGTGCCAAAGAGAGTTTTAACATTTCTCTCCTACTGTAGCTAAGCTGAGTGAAGGGCATATTTGTTTTTGTGACACATTCCTGTGTTTTCACAGTGACTCACACTCACCCAGATTGAAATGCAGATGCTCTATCAGTGGCACAGCTCCTGAACAGCCCGAGCTAAATGATAACAGGATCGCCTCAGACGTTTCACCGGCAAAAAACGTGTTTATACCAAGTGTTGCTGTTAAGCTGCCTTGGTGTGAAAAAGTTATTTTTGTCTAAATAAACTGGATGGAATCACAGCAAAATAAATGAAAACTAAATGAAATGAAAACAGCAAAATAAAGAGTTTTGCTGTGGAACAGGTGTTCTTGTTACAGAAACATTTTAACATTTTTTTTTGCCAGATTGAAGCTTCCTGAGTTAGAACTGCATAGAGCATTTAATAGTTCAATAAACAGGCAATAGAGGCTCACAACGAACATAGTCATTTATGGGACTGGGTTTCTTCTGATATAATAATTACTAAATAATAATGCGTTTTTATTTAGGAACATTTTTCAAGAAAATCAAAGCACTGTAAACAGGACACATTTAATAGCCATAGTAGCCAGTGAGCTGCGATGGAGTCATTAATCGTTTTAAGAATTTCATCCAGCCGTTTTGTGAAAGAGGCTCGGGGATCATATTCAATTG